CTTATTTAACTTTATTTAATTTTACTTAATTTTATTTCATTTTATTTTATTTTACTTAATTGTACTTCATTTTGCTTTAACTTTAACTAATTTTATTTAATTTTTATTAATATCTAATAAGTGTTATTAAATTTTACTTTCTTTTATTTAATTGTATTTAATTTTGCGTAATTGTATTTAATTTTATTTTATCTTTCTTTAAGTTTATTTCATTTTATTTAATTTTATTTAATTTTTTAATTTTACTTAATTTAATATTCTAAAATTTTATTTAGTTGTATTTAATTTTACTTACTTTTATTTAATTGTATTTTAATTTTAACTAATCTTGTTTAATTTTATTTAATTTTTATTAATTTTCTTGACTAAATTCCAAACGCTTTTGCTAGAGTGTTGATCTAGTAGCAGTTTCTTACCAGTCTTAGAATGTTGATCTGAGACAGACCTATTCTGTGGTTAAGTGTTGATTAGTCACTTCCCGCTCCTGGCCGGAACGATTGATCAGTCCGCCTCTACATAGTTCTTCCTTTTCTTATAAAATATAGGCCTTATAAGTTCCACTCGGTTACTTGCGTCATGTAGCATTCAAACAGGAGAGCTATTTAGCATCCTTCAAGCCTTTAAATTCATTTTCACGTTATTAAAAAATGTATCAATTTGCACCAATTCCATTTCCACCATATTCTAGTTAAAATCAATATTTACTGATCATCCACTAGTTCAGAGTATACACGACATATACCAATCTCTTCATACTCGAGAAACAAAAGTCTCACTTATCTGGCTTTCGTCGCACATTGGCGTTGTTGGTAACAAACCTGCTGATCGCCATGCTAAAAGAACGATTACTTCAACAATTAGCCAAACAACGATCCAACTAAGCAAAGACGTTAAAGTTAAGTTTAAAAGTCAATCCTATAATCTTGGCACGCTCATTGGAATAACTGTAATAAAGTCCTATGCAGAATTCATCCTAAAATTACCTGGTCAAGTCTTACTAACAGTACTCAGAACGAATCACGGATACTAAGAAGACTACGAATCGGCCATACAAGATTGACAAATGGCTACTTAATGTCCACCGATGAACGTCCAACATGGCAATAGTGCAATTGTGCTCTTACCGTAAACCATTACGGACTGCCAACAATACACCAGCTACGTCCGGAAAAATAACTTGAAGACATCGCTTGCATATATTCTAAACTACCAAAGTGAATACACATACACTAAATTACTAGAGTTCCTCAAAGACACTAATCTTTCCAATAAAATTTAATACATATTGTGATATTTCTAAGAATTATGACGGATGAAATAATATTTGGTTAAATAAAGTCGATATACCTTCACAATGGAACAATTACATTTTAGTTCCCATACTTAAGCCAGGAAAACCAAAAAATCATGCATCATCATATAGGGCTATACCCTTAGCATCATGTGTTCTAAAAACATACGAAAGAATGATAAAATCAAGACTAAAATTTTTTTTGGAATCTAATAATCTTATTCATAGTTCTCAATTCGAATTTCGAAAAAAAAATCGACATGAAAATCTGGCCAATTTTGTTACAGATATTCAATTATCACTCTCCAATAACCAGTCAACATCAGCTTTATTTTTAGACATAAAAGGGGCATATGACAACGTGAAATTAGACATATTATATAAAAAAATGTGTCAAATGGGAATTCCCCTAAGTCTATCTAAACAACTATATACTATATACAGTATTAGAAATTTATTTTTCAGAGAAAACCACTTATTCTCTGAATGCAGACAAACATCTATGGGTTTGCCACAAGGTGGTATATTAAGTCCTATACTTTATATTATTTACTCAAGTGACCAGTTGTTGACATCCCACATAATATATCTATTTTGCAATATGCTGATGATATTTGTTATTTACACTCGCCACAAATTCATCTAAATAGGCCACAAACAACTCAATTATGCAATAAGAAATTTAGATAATTGGATTTTCAACAACGGCTTATTAATTTCCGAAGAAAAATCAGTATTAGTTACTTTTACCAGAAAAAGATATCGGTGTCCTCAACAAATAAAATTATCAAAATATTTGTTTCCTTACAAATCTTCCACTAAATTTCTACAAGTAATTTTAGATTCTAAATTAAATTGGAAGGAACACATAAATTATATAATCAAAAGAACAGAAAATAGTGTTAATTTATTAAACACATTCGGTCATTCCTCGTGGGGAGGGGATCCAAAAATAATGTTACTATTTTATAGAACACTCCTTAGATCTATTTTAGATTACGGATCTATATTTTATCATTCAGCAACAGAAACAAATCTTATAAAAATAGATAAAATAAAAAACAAATGCCTTCGACTCAGTATTGGATACTTGGGAAGTACCGCCATTGAATCTTCGGAGAAGATTTCTATCTGACAAATTCGTGTTAAAGTTAAGAAGTCAGAAATCCAAGTTACTATTTAAAGTATCTAGTTTAGCTGGTTTGGTTTTAACATCTAAATATTGGGATAAGAAAAAAATACCATTATTAGTTGAAAGTTTCATTACTAATGTTCACAGATATGAAGAACTTTATAAATCCAATGGAATCCCTTTATGGAATTATTCTTATGAAATGTTTCTTTCTCCAGTTAAGACCCATATTAACTCTCGCTATTTATGTCAAAACACTATTATTATACAAAAAGAATATTATCGAGATTGTATAGTAAAATGGAAACAGTATGAAAAAGTTTATACTGATGGATCTAAATCGGAACATGGAGTTGGCTGTGCAGTTTATTATCCTTCCAAAAATATCAAACTAATATACAAACTGTCAGATATGATGTTAATTTTCAGTGCTGAGCTTATTGCCATGAAATTAGCAATTAATCTGTGTTTAGAACAAGAAGAGGATAAATTTGTCATATTTACAGAATCTAAAAGTTCGGTAGAAAAACTTAATAATCTGTTTTTGAATCCTAATTTAAATTACATCCTTCTTGATATTTTAGAATTGTATCGAAATGTATCAAGTAGAGGAAATCAAATTTATATATCATGGATAAAAGCCCATTCAGGTATAGAAGAAAATGAAGAAGTGGACTATTTAGCAAAATATGGTGCGAAAAATGGAAGACTACTTAGATTAAAAATACCAGAGTCCGATTTTATTCCAATTTTTCGAAAGGAACTTAAGAAGTGGCAGATAAAATATAAATGTGGAGACAAAGGACAGTTTTTTAAGAATATACAACCAAAAATAAGGCACAAACCATGGTTTGAGAATACACGTAATCGTTCATTTATTCGGATAATAAGTCGAATGCGCTTCAATCATTCACTATTTCCAGCGTATAAACATAAAATAGGTTTGTTAGATAATAATAAATGTCTATGTGACGAAATTGCCGATTTACAACATATTTTTTTAGAATGTCCTTTAAAAAAATAGAAATTGATGTTTTATCAAAATTTAATATTGCACAAAATGAAATTTCCAATAAATGTTTCAAATCTATTGACATTAGAGGATAATAGTATCTACAACATCATATATCAGTATGTAAAATCTACTAATATTACTTTGTAAGCAGTATTGCGATATATGAATAAATTTGTAAGCCTAAAACGAAAAAAAAAAAAACAAAAAAAACAAAAAAAAAAGAATATGAAAAAAAAACCAAAAAAAAGCAAACCAATAAATAAATAATATTAAAAAATAAAAAAATAATATTAATAAAAAGAAATAAGCAATAAAAATAAAAGAAAAGTTACAATGGTATATAGACTAATATAAAAAAAAACAATAAAAATAAAAATAAGTAACCAAAATATTTAGGCATTTACTAACACACTAAAATTATTGTATCTTAATTTAACCTGTATATAATATTAATATGTATATAATGTAAACAATGGAAATGGCTAAAACTAGACTGGCCCTTTTGGCTTTGCCAGTGCCATTAACTTAGGAAAAAAAATGACGGATGAACGTCCAACATGTCAACAGTGCCTCGATGAATTGAACCCTTGGCGTAAACCATATTAACGGACTGCCAACAGTACACCAGGCTCCAGGTTAGTTTTCCGCGCCCGGAAAACTAACTTGAAGACATCACTTGCAGATATTCTGAACTATTTAAGTGAATACACTAAAATACTACAGTTTCTCAAAGACTTCTTTTTAATAAAATTGAAATACCGATTGTGTAATAAAGAATAAATCAACTGTACCATGCCAATGGCCTTAGTTGTCGAGGCATATTAACTAAATAAAAAAAATTATGCTTGTATTCATATCCAACGTGAAAAGTATTGATCATTATTATTCTGGCTTAATGTGGGTTCTAGCCTCCTCAAGAATTTCTCTCCATTTGTTCTAATCGATCACCTTCCTCCGCCAAGCACGTAGGTATTCCATTAGTTACGCCATTAGACACTTTTTTATTACTTTTTTTGTTCAGTTTTAGTTAAGAATTGCAAAATATTCGATTTCACTGAATATTTTATATGGGAATAAACCGCAATAAATTGTAATAAAAATTACATATTTTATTTTTATTTGATGTTTGGATTTCCAATGATGAAATCGTTTTAAAAAATTCTGAAATAAAAATTGTGAAAAATAGATTTATAACATATAAATGTTATCTTCACTGAAACTATGCTTTAATAAAAACTGTAAAATTAATATATATTTACAAATCATCAATAAACTACAAGTTGGTTCATAATTGACCTATATCGACCTTTAGATAAACTTTTGTGCAAGAAGGTGGTTGATGCAAAGTTGCGAATGTTATGGCTGAGAAAACTGTGATTTTTTATTAGGTATAAACTCGTTGGGAAATAATTGTTATTAGTAACCAGATACGAATTTTCAATACTTACTGCTAATGAATTAAAAAATCAAACGTTTACAAACGTACTTTTAAATTATAAACAAGTTTTATCAGTGTAGGTTATCTTAAGAAACCACAGTTATGTTATACCCTTTGCCTGTAAGCTATTATTTAGTCACGCATTACCTAATATGTGAAGGTTATAGTAAAAGTTCTAGCTTTATCTCTATAATTTATTGCTTACAATGCGAGAAACTCTGATAAACAGTTTACAAAAAATATCGATATCAATAAAACCAGCATTTAAGAAAGTTTCTAGTGATAACTTCATAAATAATGTTTTAACGAGTGATTTGCGAGTTTCCGTAGAAATATGCCCTAACAGAGGCCTAAACGAGGATCTTTTGTGTTCGATCCCTTTTAGTTTTTGTTCTGTGACGTGGCGTACACCCTCCAATCAACAATTGGAGAATGTAGAACAGATACCCGCTCTAATATTAGCCAAGCAGTTGAATTCGAATGGATACAACGTGTTGTTACATCTAGCGGGAAGGAATTTGAAGCGTGATCAAGTTGTTAGAATTTTGGAGGATGTAAAAAGTGCAGGAATTAAGAATTTATTTGCGCTTCAAGGAGGTAATTGCTTTTATTTTAAATTAGGGTTCTATAATGTGTACAAAGTGTTTTCCAATAATATTAAAAAACATTTTGAAAATCTTCCTTCTTATATAGGTTAATTATGCCTGTTTTTTTCTTCGATATTAGCCTCCTGCATTGTTTAAATTATCACAATATCTCTTCCTTGGTCTTCCTACACTTCTTCGACCATTTGGTGATTTGTCTCGTGCTATTCTTACTGTCCTATCTTCTGCAATTCTGCTAAATTATTCGTTCCATTCCTGTTTCCATTTTGTTATCCATGTATTTATGTCTTCAACATTACATACCCTTCTTATGTTCTCACTTTTCTCCCTATCCTTTCCCCCATAGTTTTCGGTGTAAGGGAGACCGGGGGAATTCTGCGCGAATTCTGAGGGAAAATACTTACAAAAAGTTTCCTATGTACACAAAAACTTCTATAATTTAACTACTGAAACTTGTATCTATTGGGAACGTTATTCCCATAAAAGAGGTTTAAAGTTTTACGGATTTTGAAGAAGAAAAAGTACTTTAAAAAACTCTCACTGCGCGGTATTCCCCCAAGTACTGAGTAATGCTACGCAGAAATTAAATAAAGCTCTATTCGAAAAAAAAAAGATTATTGTTATAAAGAAAATATTGTATGAAATAATTTTATTTTCTGACGGTCTTCCGTTCGACCCTGGCACACATATCGCACGTATAATTAACTGCTCAATCCCAACCACTACATTCTGAATGAACCCAATTCGAAGACGTTATACAACGGTAGCAAATTTCTTTGTCTCTTCCGAATTCACGGCACTCCAAACACTCCTTATTTTTAAATGTTAGATCTAGATTATCTAGTTTATTATCATCACAAAGCTTACTCTCAACATAACTTTCAGACTCAACATAACTTTCAGACGAAAAGTCGCTCTTTTCCCGGTTTTAGTTTTTTGACTTCTTCATATTTCTCTTTTCTTGTTTTATGAGTTCTTAGTGGCGTGGAAATTTTTGAGTGTTATTTTGAACGTGATTTGGAACTTTTCTTTACAATTTTGCCAGGAAGAGGCGCTAGATTTTCAATAGATACACTAGACTGAGTGTTAACATTTCCTGGGGTTTCATGCCGGGGTTCAGCTCGCTGATTTGATTTTAATTTGGCATTATTGAATGAAGTCTTGTGTATAGTTGCATCACATCTCGATGGTCCCGGTTGGGGTTCGGTATTTCTAGGTGGAGTTCTCTGCAGAATTTCGTCAAAGCTCTACTGTGTTATTCGTGGTGTCTTCGGTTTCATTTAAGTTCATTACTAAGTGTATATCTGAAACTTCAGTGTGATCTACTAAGGTGAAATCATGTTTAGAAAATTAATTTGATCTATGGGCCATATTCCAGCAGCACAGACCCTGATATGCTTTTTTTCCATCGTGTCACCTCTCAGATATGCTCTATTAAAATGGAAGCAAGTTCAAAATGTGTGATCTTTTTCAAGAAAAATCCCGCTTTTTCAACTGTTCAAGAAAAATCCGGCTAAGGGCTTGTGAAAGCAATTAATTTTAATGACTTTCGTCTGAGAATGTAGGGTATTGAATTTCATATAGTATAAGAATATATTCAATTTGTTTAGAGTTAGTTTTTAGTCGAATTTATACCACCGAACCGAAGGAAACTGAATAAAACTTTTAAAGTCACATTTGTGTATTTTAATACGAAAGTAATTTTTGTAATAGAAATTTAATTTTGTATTCTTTCGAACCAGGAGTCTCTTGCGATAATTAATCGTAGGACATTCCAAACGTAACATTTGGCGACCGTGACAGGACTTATATACGGGTGTGCTTAAAAGTTAGTTATTTTCGTTTATTTTAGTGCAAACTTTTTTCCGGCGAATAATTTTGTTTTTGTCGTGAGGCTCGGCCAAAGTTAACCTTTTTAAGCGAAAAAATGGAATCAGTTAAAAAACGCAGAACGGTTCTTCGTAGTGCATTTACGAAAGTTGCTACTGTTTTGGACAGTTTGTTAGCTCAACCGGTGGACATTCGACCCTGGCAGAATATTAGCGTACAGTGGGAACTTTTACAAGTAAAGTACAATGAGCTTTGTGAAGTGGAAAGTGCGGTACTTGAAAGTATGTTGGAAGAAGCTTCCGAAGAAGAATTAATCAGTGAGATGGAGACAAAAGATAAATATAGTGCAAGGTACTTTGAACTTAAGTACAAATGTGATGACAGACCAGGTTCAGTAAGTTCAGAGTCATCAAGTATAAAAGGTAAGCGCAAATTTAAATTACCTCCAATCGAATTCAAGAAATTTAATGGAGACTTGAAAGATTGGCTTCCTTTTTGGTCACAGTTCAAAGTAGTGCATGACGATCCATCAATTGATTTGACTGATAAGATAGCTTATTTGAGACAAGCCACTGTAGAGTCTAGTAAGGCCAGACGATTAGTGGAGAGTTTTCCTGCAGTAGCCGACAATTACTCAAAAATTATCCAGAGTTTGCAGTCTAGGTTTGGCAGAGAGGATCTCCAGATTGAAGTTTATATTAGAGAGCTCTTAAAGTTAATTTTGAGTCGAGTTTCTAGTAGTTCTTGTAATATTTCTGCTCTTTATGATATGATTGAAAGTCAACTTCGTTCACCTGAGACCTTAGGCATAACTGCTGACAAGTATGCGGCGATATTGTATCCTCTTATCGAGTCATGTTTGCCAGAAGATATGATTCGACTATGGCATAGATCTTCACAGTTTTTAAGGCCTTATGTTTCCGGGTCCATGGAAAATATCGCAGAAACGGCAGAGGTTACAACTTTAGAAACAAGATTGGATGGGCTAATGAGCTTTTTACAAAGTGAAGTTCAAAATGAACAAAAAATTGATTTAGCAACGGAAGGTTTTGGTTTACCGACTGAAAATAAATATAAATTTAATAACCTCGTTGCCAAGAAAACTGTAAAATTACATAAGCAAGGAACTGATCAGCCCTTAGCGACCGCTGCTGGGTTAGTAAACTATGAGGTTTACAGGTGTGTATTTTGTGAAGCGCAGCATGACAGTACAAATTGTTTTAAAGCACAAAAATTTACTATGGAGCAGAAACGTCGAACATTGTCAGAAAAGAAAGCATGTTTTCGATGTCTGAAAGTAGGACATTCTTCTAAAAAGTGTAGAGGACGTTTGAATTGTATATTATGTTGTAAATCACATGCTGTTTTGATGTTCCCTAATTTGCCTGTTAATAAAATTGATACATCGACCTCAAGTACTACCCGTTCGGAAGAAAATATAACTGAGGATCAGACGCTTGCTAATTTGAATAATACACAGGTTTTTTTTACAAACTCTGCGAATAAACATAAGAAGTGCACATGGTACTAAACAAGTAAGGGCACTTATTGACACTGGGTCGCAAAGGACATATATTTTACAAAGTACCGCGCAAGAAATGGGTTTTTCTGCTAAAGGAACGGAAAAGATTGTACACGCATTATTTGGCGGTAGAAGCACTTCTGAACAACGACATAAATTGTACGAGGTAACTGCGTGTGAAGGAACCTACGCTTATTCATTTGATGCATTAGATCAACCAAAAATTTGTGCCGATGTCTCTTCTATTTATGACGGCCCTTGGATTGAGGAACTCAGTGACATGAATATTTCACTCAGCGATGTCGGAAAGACAACACCGATTGAGATTTTGTTAGGAGCTGATATTGTAGGCAAATTGTATACAGGGAGAAAATATCAGTTACAGTGTGGTCTTGTAGCAGTTGAAACTTTGTTAGGTTGGACTCTTATGGGTAAGGTGCCGGCAGTTGCTTCTAATTCTAGTACAAGTATGATTACATTTTCGTTGTTTGTTAATAATTCTTCTGTAGCGAAACTCTGGGAGCTTGATGTTATTGGGATAACCGACCCTGTAGAAAAAATGACACGAGAGGTGGCAGCCAAAGAGGCTAAGAATTTTTTCTATGAGACTGTACGATGTGACAGCGAAGGCAGGTATGAAGTTATGTTACCTTGGTTGAACGAGCATCCTTTAATTTCAGATAATTTAGTTGTTGCTAGGAGAAGGTTAGATAATACTTTAAATAAGTTGAAAAGGTCTAATTTGTTTGAAATGTATAACTTTATATTCAATGAGTGGTTGAGCGAGGGTGTGATTGAAATAGTGAATAATCCAGAAGAGAATAATTGTGTGCATTATTTACCTCACAGGCCCGTTATTAAAAATAATAGTGAAACCACAAAAATTAGGCCAGTCTTTGACGCATCATCTCATGAACAAGGTTGTCCTTCTTTAAATCAGTGTTTGGAGGTAGGGCCTAATCTTATTGAACTTATTCCTTCTGTTCTATTACGATTCAGACAACAAAGGGTAGGAGTTGTGTCGGATATTCGAAAGGCTTTTCTTCAAATTTCTATACATTCAAAGGACAGAGATTTTTTTGAGGTTCCTATGGGTGAACGATGAAGGAAAGGAATTTGTATTTCGACACAAAAGGGTTGTTTTTGGAATCAATTGTAGTCCATTTCTTCTGGGTGCCACTATAGAGTTTCATTTAACAAAGGCCCTGGAGAAATGTTGTAATGATAATCCATATTCTAAAAACACAATTAAAAAGCTTATGACTGGGTTTTATGTGGATAATTGTGTGACCAGTGTTACTGATGAAAATGAGTTGAGAGTGTTTGTATCAGAAGCAACCGCCCTTATGGAGGAAGCTAAGATGGACTTAAGAGGGTGGGAGGCCTCTGGTAATACAAAAACAGTTGTTCCGGTTCTTGGTCTTCTCTGGGACTCTTCAAGAGACACTCTGAAAATCAATAGTGAAACTTTTCAAGAAATGGCATTGAAACGTCCCATAACTAAGAGACTGATGCTTTCCATAGCTCAGAGTATATTTGACCCTATTGGTTTTACCTGTCCCGTATCCCTATTTCCCAAACTGTTGCTACAGAAACTTTGGGAGAAGCGCCAGGGATGGGATGCTCCAGTCGAGAATGAT